ACTACCAATCCACCAATTCATTGTGCACCTTCTACCTCTCATTTATCTCATTTAAATGAAATCAATAACCTTATTTCTATTAGCGATAATCAAATTAATACCGCCGTGAACAACTCCATTAACAATAATTCTATAAACAATTCAATGAACGATCAAATTAATTCAATGGGCTCAATAAATTCAATGAATACAACCACAACAAACAGTTCTTCAGTATCGCCTTTAATATCGACATCAATACCATCGTCAATCAATAACAATAATAACGACAACCATGAAATAAAGCTAGATTATGATAATAATAATCCTGTTGTTAATCAACTATATACTACTATTACCACTAACAGAGGTAGGCCACCATCATCACCGGCTACCGATGCAAATAATAATAGAAGTGGTGCAACTAATGGAGGTAATTATATCACAAATTATTTGATTTTGATTTAAATTAATTAATTAAATTAATTATAACTAAAAAACAAAGGAAAAAAGAAACGGGGCCGTAAACCCGAATCTGATTACCATTTGTTAAATTCATCATTATCGTCGTCTACGACTGGTAATAATATACTATTATTAAAAATTATAAATAAATTTAATTTACCTTTAACCAATTAATAAAATGCATAATTACACACACACACTTAAATGAATAATTAGATGTGATTCGTCAGGCTGAAATTGCACAATGTTCTAATTGTGGTGTTCGTGATACTCCAGCTTGGAGACGAGATTTACAAGGAATATCTTTACTTTGTAATGCTTGTGGTCTATAGTTAGTATATCCATCCACCTACATATAAATGAATAATGAATATACCAAATATTCAACCAATTTAATTCAATTAATTATTATTTAATTGTAGTTTGAAGAATAAAGGAATTCGTCGGCCAACAGAATTAGCTCCAGATGGAACAATCAGATTAATGAGAACTCAACGTCTAGAACCAGAATTTACTTGTAATAATTGTGGAATGCGCAATACTCCTTGTTGGAAAGGACCTGAAGGACAAAAACTCTGTAATGAATGTTTATTAGAGTATATATATATATATAAATTAAAATTTCTACGTATATTATTTTTTTATTTTATTAATTAAATTTGTTTATTTATTAAAACTATTATTTTAATAGGTGATTTTTGTTCGTTCTTTCATCCACCAAACTCATGTTCGAAGTTTTAAGTCCAACAACAACAATTATTATTATTAACATCATTATGATCATCATCAACAACAATTTTTTGATTCATCATTATAAGATTACTTATTAACAATAAGATGATATTTTTATTTTGTTACAAAAATTTTTTAAACAGCAGCATTAACGCCGCCATAACAAATTATAAATTGAAAAATCCTTTTATATAAACAATGAAATTTTTTTTATTATTCTGTAAATATTTTTACACATAGTAATAATAAATTTATTATTATTATAGACATTTATTTCTTTTCTATTAATTTTTCTACAACTAATAACAATTCAATAAAAAACCAAAAAAAAATTGGTTCACGATTTGTAAATCGTTTTAATATTAATATGGCCAAGATTTTTGATTTCTGATCAGATTACTATTACATATATGTTAAATAAAAAATTCGACCTTTATTGTCATTCCCTCATATTAATATGATCCGAATATACATAATAAACTGGCAATTAGATGAAATCGAACATACCAATACTAATAAGAAGTTAGTTAGGAGATGCGGAGGAAAAGAAAACGAAGATCACAGCAAAGGATTAAATAAACAATATGGTGATATGTTTTCTGATAAGTAGGCAAGTGATTAAAAAAAGTTAAACTACTAGTAAATAAATGCCAGGTAAATAAATGCTTGGTTGTTGGTATCATGATTTGTTCTCCTTTTGCCACTTTATTCTTTTTCGTGTGATAGGCTTCTGGATCTCTAAGTTTTTCAGCTCTTCTTTCATTATTCATATCAAATTATGGTTGTTTTCTGCAATTGTTTTCGAAGGAAAGTGATTATGGAAATAGTTCTGAATATTCTTTATATGAATGAACATAAAATAACTATATATTAGCATACCATTTGACTTAAAGAGTTCAAATAATTACAGAAATAATTTTGGCAATCATGAAAAAACTAATTATAATTACAGGTTAATCAACAGAGTTTCGACAGGTTACACATTAATTGTTAATTAGAGTTTCAGCAGAGTTTCGCATTTGGGGGTTTTGTCAATCGTCAGAGTTTTGACATACTAATTGTTCATTAGAGTTTCGACAGTCACTAAGAGGAAGCAACCTTATTACAGGTACAGTGCCGGTCACAAGTACACATCCAATTGTTTCAATTTTAAAATTTTGATGATCTTTCCAAAATAAGCAATA